TCCCAGCATCAGAGGAGCTGAAGGTCTTAGAGAAGTGATAAACACAGCTCTTCTGAGTGTCAGATCTCTTCTCACATCCATCATGTCTGTTTCCATCAGCGTAGATGATGTCTGGATGAGATTTATCTGATCCAGTTCTGAACCAGAACACACTCGGATCTCCTGAACATGTTTTGTTCTCAGAGTCAGACAAGACTGAACACTGGAGAGTCTCTGCTTCTCCTGGATGGTCTGAATCTGATTCTGTGGGCTGCTGAACAACAGTGTAGTCTGATGTCTTGTGACTGTGTCCTGTGTAATGAACAAAGTGTTAACAGGATGACGAGACTTCAAAGCACATTTTGAAAGTTTGAGAAAAACCTCAACTGTGACTTTAGTAGTTTTACATCAAACTCATATGAACAAGGAATATTATGAATATACTTCACTTGGATCAGTGGTTGAAGTAGTATTTAGATAAAAATAGAAGAAATTCATAATAAATGTAAATGTAAGTAGATTGAAACATGTTTAGTGAGTTTTCTAAACATATTCAGTGTAGTTACTCTTCAACATGTATACAGTAGAGCTTTAGTGGTTGAAGCGTTTACAAAACATGATGAAAGTAGCTCATTTATTACCTTTTACGATCAAATATGTCCCACTCCATTTAGATACCGTGCCATACAATGCAGACAATGCGCAGTGATAGATTCCCTCGTCCTCTTGGATTGTCCTCAAAATAGTCAGGTTCATAAAATCATCATGAATATTAACTTTCCATCTTGAGTTAGGAAACTCTGGTGCAAACTGAGGTGTTGTATGTTCCCGCAGAATCACAATTAGTTTCAGATTATCTCCAACACTCTGCTTGTACCAGTGGACTTCTACTTGGCTGATGTCAGTACTAGACAGATCACATGTGAACGTTGTAGATTCACCAAGTTGAACTGGGATCACTGGAATGAGTGCATCTGAATTGAAAGAAAACACAAAACATATAAGACAATAAGTTACAATGATGTAGGAAATCCACTTGATAACAACATCATGTAAAAATTAGAAAGCACTCACGTCCTCGATGAAGAACAAGCAATGTAATCCACAACATGATCATCTTGACACTGTCTCCTGTCAGGGACCTTGTTGCTGTTTTAATGAGTGTAGGAGGTGATATAACTTGGCCAAGACCCTCTATATCACACTGACAAATACATGTGATTGGTTGTCACAGATTAAAGACTAAAAAATTCACTTCCTGCCACACTGGTCTCGTCCAAGGCTTTGAGGAGTAAATCACCTCATTCATATCCATTTACTCTTTCATTTTAGTGATCATGTTAAAGCATTTGGTTCCTATCAATGCTACAAGCTTATCTTACATTTTTTTTCAACTTTGTTCTGTCATGTCCATCTTCTGCCCTCACTTTCAGCTGCACAGCGAAGGTGTGAAGTTGTGAAACCACATTAGTGCAGCTGTCTTTACTCGGAAAAACTCTGATTTTTGGAGGAGACTTTGTGTCGATT